TGTATGGGCAAGAGGCGAATCAAAAATTCACTGCTATTAATATATTGGAAGGTAGGAGAAAAAAAGGGGGAAAAAAACCCCAAAGAGCAAAATCATCAAATTTCTGCTTTGTAAAAATCTCTAAGATGTCTCTAATCAGTTGCCTCTGTAGTGTTCATTTCAGAAACATTCTTAGCTCAGACCTAACTTCATGTGAAGGTTCCTCTGTGGTCAGTGACAAGATCTTACCCTTGGGAGCTGCAGTTCTGAGCTGCTCTGACTCCTCCTTCAGAGGGACCTGTAGCCTTCTGCTGTGACCAGGGCAGCAAATTCAGCCACCTCAACTAATCCTCTATGTAGAGGGAAGAAATCCAAACCTTAACAAGTCTGAAAGTTGTTCCCTTGAGCGGGCAGTGGAGCTTTGCCTTTTGAACTTTCCAACACTGAACAATACAGAGAACAAAATATTTCCATGCCAGCAACTTCTTACTCAGTTAAGAGACATCGACACTGGCTTTAAAGTCCTCCAGTGTACAATGGATGCATTCTTATGCTCCAGGCACTCTGGAAATCTTTTGGAGCTATTTTTTTTTCTGGGGTTTTGGGTCAGGGATGTTACTTTTGGGGTTTGTCTTTTATTTTTCCTTGATCAGTTTGTTTATTAAAATACTTCATCGTAGCACAACAGAGTCTGTGTAAATAGCAAGGGGAATGTCAATATCAAAAATTCTCACAGCTATGGCCAAATCTACCTTTTTTATTAAACAAAGATTGTCATAGTTCCTAAGGCTATTGGCACATTGCATGTTTCTGGACCATTCTTTGTTCAGCAGCTTCTTGGGGAAATCACTCCCTGAAAGATACCCTGGAGATGTGCTCCTTTCTATTTATGGTTTGGGGGTTACCAGAGTAAGGATATGATTTCATTCCATTGCATTAGAATGGCTGGGGAGCTTCACTGCTGTCATTCCATGCCTAATAATTTAAACCAGTAGTAACTCCATAGTAGCTGTACACAGTCCATCAACAAAGTCTCTTCAGATCATTTGCTTTCACTGTGTTTATTCATTATTGACCAGCAGTGGTTTTGCTGCATTAGGCTCTGCAGTTGTGGGATGATTTCTGTGAGAGTTGCCAGAAAGTTTCAGAAAAAAAATCCCCCTGAAATTCAACAGTCACCATTGTCCAGACTTAGGATGGTAGCTTAGTGCTTCCTTGCTGGCCACATGTTCAGCTGTGAGGCAGTAGTACTAAACTGGAAAATAAAATCTATATTTACCAATAACAGCTAATTTAAGAAGTTTTCCAGACAGTATTGGATGGGCTAGGTACAGGCAGACATACAAAAAAAATGTTTAAGAGGCTATCATTCTGGGTATAAAGAAATAAGTAAATAAATAAATATATATACATATATATGTATAAATAGGTATAGAGTTATTATGTTTATGTATATATAGCATATATATACATTTATATATATATATAATGTTTTATTGGCTCACTGGCTGACTGAAGCTATTCAATAACAAGGTATGAAATGTCTAGTCAGATAGCAAGGTCTTGTCACCACTCAGTGTCATGATATGACACATTTTTTCACCATTTCAGCTGCTTGAAAGTGAGTCTCTGGAGCCTGGAAGTGGCAGATAATTGGGAATCATGACAATATTTTCCTTCGGTTCCAGGACTAAACTGTAGTTCTTTTTGGCTAAATCTTACCATCTATCACACTGTCTGCTACAGGAAAACATATGTTTTAAGTAGCCAGAAGCATTATCTCCTTCCATGCAAGGCATTTACTAGGTGAAACATTTCATGTCATACCATGAGCCAGTAGTCAGTTGTTGTCTTTATGGGTTTGTGGAATTTCAAGACCTAAACAATCTCATTTTCAGTGGTTTTACTATGGATTATAAAGAAGCATCAATAAGATATAAACTTAGTGTTTAATAACCTATAAAACATGCCACAGCAAGGTTTTCAGCTACAAGGATCTGTAAAAAAGGTTTTAAGTACATTGTAATATCCTTTTGGGATGCCAATACAACTAATGAAAGGGTTTAGACAACAAATTGGGCTAATTGCTGAGTTACAAAGGCCTTTCTTTTATTTTTTGTTCTTTCTTCTTTTTGCATTTCTTGAGACTTTTCTCCCACCTGCAATCTTGCTTTGTCATGAATTCCTGTCCTTGATTCTATAATAGCCCTCATAAAACTTTGCAACATTGAGCATTTGTTTAATACAGAGGGAATTAATACAGAGTCTGTGTGTCAGGCATTTGCTGACTCACTGCAGTACCATTCTTTGTATTCAGTTAACTGCAAAACACAAGAAACAGCAAAATTACTAACTGACCAGAATTTTTCTGAAAACAGTGTGCATTCTTTCCATGTGACAGCTCTTGTCGGTACTGTACCAAAGAAGGCCACACTCATGTAGTCCAAAGACCCCCTAAATCTCTGAGCAGAGCCTTGTTCTTTGCCATGTCCAGGCAGACTGATGAAATTTGGGTGGAAATATGACCAGTGTGATCAAGTGCCTATCACAAATCAGACAAGTGACTAGTGTGATCAAATACCTATCACAAGTCTTATTGCTTCCTAGGCTTTTAAAATGGCAGGTGGTGTGTAGAAAAGAGTTTATTCCTCTGTTCTCTGTATGTTCTGTTGGTTTGTAGATAGAGATGGATTGATTTCAGCACCCAAAAAGCTGTTTGGGCAAGTTGCCCTGTTTGTGACAGGTTAGACTTCCTACAGCATGTTTATCAGAGCTGCTTGGGGCCTCAGACTAACCATGATATGTTTATTTGGCACTTAACAGCGGTGTATTTATTGTCATTATTACTCACCCATAAATTTGGAAACTTACAGTACGTGTCTGTTCATTGCTTTTTAACTGAAATGTGAAAACACTGTGGGATTTCCCTTTCAGGCCTCTTATTTCAAATGTTTTATTCCACAAACACAAAGAGAAGGATAGATCATCTCTGATTTAGGTTGACCTGGGTCTCCACTTGTTCTTGCCTTCTACACACCAATATCAGTAGAGTTACAGTGACATAAAGCAGAAGAATACAGTCAAAAATCAGATCCTTCCTATACCAAATCACTTTCCACATCTGTTTCCTATTTGTCTTATAATGACACATGGGGTTATTTTGGGAATATATTCTGCTTTAACTGTCATGCCACTGACTCTGTAGCCTTATCAGATATTAATTGGTATGCAGGTTGAGCAATTACCATCTACTAAGGAGAAATGCCAAGAAAATGTAGATTGATAATAACATTTTTCAATAATAGCTTGTAACATTAGGGCCATCTTCTATTATTGCAGTTGAGGTTTAGCATTCTCATCAATTTACTACTTTTATTTATTATGCAAGATCTAGATATGGACCCTACAGTAGAATTCCAGAAATGCTTTTCTGTTTGGTTATTTATTCATCTCTGGTTAGATGGAGCAAAGACAGAAAACTGGAGAGAAGCAAGGAATGTGTCTGGATTATTAAGAACCAGAAGAAAAGACAACAGGATAGAAAGAAATGTTAATACCATGCCAGATACTACAGATACAGGATGACTGGAATCAGGCAGGCTACATGTACAAGAACATGCCTTAGGAGATTGAGCTTGAATTCTGGGATCAGACTTCACGCAGCTGTGTCCAGCCTTTTTATTTTACAGTGCAGTAAGCCATACATGGCTGTCCTCCTAACAGTTCATTCTCCCTTCGTCTTTTTCTTCAGTGCATGGAAGGAAATGTGAAATCCATCACACGTTCTTTAGAAAATATGTAATAAATACACACAGATACATGCTTGTGTGATGTCATTGCACAAGCCTGTAATAAAATCTGTAGCCTGTGGCTTACAGAGTTATGGACACAGTGGGTTTAAAATAACACCGTTTGCAAGTGTGTTTGGTCACTAGCCTGGCTCATGCCTGTGTTCAGTATGGGTGAGCAATATAGGGAAAGCAGGGAGCCAAGGAGGATGCTGCTTCCAAGGTGGAGGTCAATCTCTTCTCTTTGGGGTTCCTTGACTTAATTAGGTGTCAGTGCAAATTAACCACAATGCAGGTGGGAAATGGAAATCCCAGGTTTTGCTAAGGTCTTCACAAATCTGTGAATGTTGAAGACTTCTGTGCACAAAGCATCTATTCTTCTGGTTTTATCCTTAGTGCAAAATGTAAGATAAACATACTATCCAAATTGATTGGCAGACTTGGTCCCCCTGTTAAAATTAATTAAATGTACTGAAAAGCCCATTGCTTTGGATTTATTTACCTCATTTGACTTGGTGTTGACTGAGGCCCTTTTTAATCTTGGTTTATATTCCCCTATGATTTGCCCTCAGCCTGTATATTTTAAAAGTGTCATCTCAGGGTATCGAGGAATAGTAGTAGTAGTAATAATAATAATAATAATAATAAACAAAAATAAAACTAATTTAAAAAAGAATAATAATAATAGTAATAATAACTTTCCTGATGCAATTGAAATTGAATTTAAGGATATACTCAGTCTAGGGAAAGCAGAATTTAGCATCATGTTACTTACTAATCTACAGTGGTGGCACATTTCAGAAAATAATAATCAGTAAAAGATAGATTTTATCTTTTTTTCAGATAAAAGTTTCAAATTCCTACTTCTTCAGTTACTGTTACTCAGATGTATTCTCAGTGAAAGCAAAAATAATTCAATAAACCCATGAAAATTAATATGAAAATAAATTATATGTGAAGTGGAACAGAAGCGACACAAGCTGTTCAAATGTATTTTTGCCTTTGACCAGCATTCAGCACATACTGATTAGGAGATGGGCACTTTTACCAGGTCCTCACCCAGTGCAATTTGACTTCCCTGAGGCCACAAATGCCACTAGGACTCACATACACTTCACTCTTCTTGAACACAGTTCAAATTACTTCTTAGTTTTCTTTAATCAAATAATATTGCTTTTACCTTCTTTTATAATTTTTTAAATTTTTAATTTTTTTTTTTTTTTTATTTCACAGGACAACATTTTTAGAATGGAAGAGTCACACTTTGAAAATGGGCGAGGGAAAAGCCCTTATGATCCCAAACTGCTGACAGCTTCACTTTTAGTAGGTAGGTACCACACAACAAGTTCAATGAGATGTGCATTCACTGTAAATAATTTGCCAGTTTTCTGCTTTTTTTTTTCCTCCTTGCAGCACCTACAATAGGCATTTGTTTTATGCAATTTATTTCCAGGTTAAAGCAATTCTGGTTTACTTTTCATGCAGTTGACCCAAGTGTCCTGAGGTGTAAAGCAAGATTCAGGTGTCACAAGAGCTGCTTTGTACCCCTGCAGGACCTTGATTCTGCTAAGTGTTTTTCCTTCTCACATCTTGGTGGAGGCATTTCAATCACCCAGTTTACTGGCTGGCCACACTGGTGGTCACACAAGCACAGCTGAGAGCTAAGTGAGAGCAGGAATAAATAACTCCTTACATCAGTTTTTCTGCCAAGGAATGCCTGTCACCCAACTTTACCTTGCATGGAAGCTGGAGATCAATGAACAGCCACGGGTCTGGGCCCTAAGGTGATGTTAGAGCTGAAGAGATCTGTCTGACAGTAAATAAAGTTAAATTCATGGCCAGATCAAAAAGAAATAAATTGTTTCTGAATTGTTAATACTTCATTTCATGGAATATGTAAATATGGAGCAATTGGACTGTGTCAATCTAATCGAACTAATGCAATTGATTTAATTTATCTAATTGATTTAACTTATCTAATTAAATTAAATATGTTCATTGTTATTACTTCACCTTCACAAAAAAGTCAAAAGGATGTTTTATGAGACTAAATTAGGAGCAAACAGATTCTTCTTTCTCTACACCTCTGCCTAGGTGTGGCCACCTTATCTTTAACATCTTTATGTGTAACTTTCTGGCAATTTATCACAACTTCAAATACAACAATAGTTTGAGAAAACTGTAGATTCTCATATCTCAGAAGTCTTCAGGAAATGACACATAATGAGATACATTGGTTTATACAGGCCTTTGTCCATATTGTTAGCCTAGAGCCTTGCTTACTCTCTGCCCTTATTCTGTTTACTTTGCATTTAAAAATTAAGCTATTCAAATAGACAGCAACAAAAATTTAGTCCTACGTGTGCCTCATTTCCTGATCTTAAAAGCCCATAATGATCCCAGGTGATGAGCTAACCTGGGGACACATGCTTTTCAACAGGAAAAACAGGAAAGACAGCCACATCTTGCTGCAACTTGTACCCTTTACAAACAGAAAGGGAAAAAAAAAGTGTGTAAAAGGCCAGTGTATAAATTGGTGCCTGGAGCAACTTGAATTTGTGACAGAGCTACTCTCAAGCGAATAGTTTTACTATTTACTTTAATATACAATAAAGAAGAGAATGATGACAAGCCAGTATTACATGGTATAACCGGTATGCAACTGCACAAAGTCAATAGCATCTAGCTTTTCACATTCCTTTTTTTTTTTCCCCCACTCAGTCTGTCACAAATATGATTATCTTACTTCCCTTGGCTTAGATTTCATGTCTTTAATACATCTTTGCTTTCTTGAGCCCACTTCCTGACACTATAATTTTCACTCCATGTATATTTTCTTCTAATAAAGAATAGACTGAGCAGGATCATTTGTTTTCAATCAGGCCTCAGTTAGAGCCACTGGGTGTAATAACACAATAGAAAATGGTGCAAATCGAGCATTCAAAGCCAATGAAAAATTTCTGCTTCAGTCACACAAAACTCGGGGTGAAGCTGAAATTAGCATTCCTGCATCCTGAACATGAGCAGCCTTCTTTCTCTGCCTCCTTACAGTTGCCTCACAACCACACTGCATTACTGATTATGATGTTGCAACTCCTGCGACCCTTTTCTGCAGAATGTCTTTCAGAGGGTGTATGCCAAAGTCACCGCTGGTTCTTTGCCTAAAAATAGCTCCTCTTTGCCAGAAAAAACTTGTTTTTTTATGGTAAAATGATGATCAAGGCAAAATAATTTACCCTCCCCACCTCAAAACAGTTGAGAATCAGGGGATGAACTGGCCAAGCAATGACTGGAGATGGAGGGGTTTGGTCCAGCTGCTGTCCAAAGCAGGGAGCACGGGAGGGAAGCAGTGAGTGTGGGCATGAAAACCAGAGGAGCCTCTTAACCACAAAGGTACCACAACAGGGACATGGATACACTGCTGCTTCTCTTGTCCTGGACTGAGCTGTAACTCAGCTACTCCTGGCCCTTCACGTGACAGAATATTTGTCCTCGTAAGTGAACATGATTTATCTAAGATTTAAGAGGGCAGCTATGTAAAAGAATTCCCCAGCATTCATTAAAATGCAATGTCATAATTAGTAATTGAAAGTAGCTGTCAGGAAAGTAAAAAAAGGCTGAGAAGAGTAATTTAGATGGTTACTGAGAGGAGGGACATTATCTCTCTTCTTCATCAGAAACACTAAACAGATATTTTACAAAGTGTGGAAGGACAATATGTTTTTGACACCATAACTAGAAAGTAAATTTTAGGTAAGTGAAATGTAGGAACTTGGGCAAAACATGAATGTTAATTTGCAAAAAAAGTAACTTCAGGTCTTTAATAGCCATTAGTACCCAGGAGGCCTATTCTGTATTTCAGCTGAAACAAACTCTTACCAGTGTAAAGAGGATCTTCAATTTTCCCTCTCTCCTAAAAAAATCAATAGTATTTGAAAAAAAAAACCAAAAAAACCAAAACTAAAAAACCACACTAAAGCAAAACGAAAATAAACAGTTCATCATTATTAAATTGTTCCAGTATTTTTCCAGTATACATTCCTTGTTCCATCCACCTGCAAACATTTTTCATTATTTTTTTAACAGTTGCTCATTAAAGTTGGTTATTGCTACCTTACTCTAAAGTAAATGCCAGCTGGGAACATGATACAAGTGGTTCCTAGTAATGTAAGACACTGTGCAGCCATTCCCATCTCTGTGCTGCTAACTAAACAGTCTCCATTTGAGTGGGCTAATGCATGAAATGTAGAGACTAAGAAATCCCTGGGCACCACTCACGAGTATTCCAGTGTGGGATGAAAATGAGAAGCAGCATGGTTTCCAAGGAATATAATCACAGGAGAAAATATCACTGAATGTGTTAGACTAAAGGAAGTGTACTGGGACAGTTGAAAAAACATAAAACCTTCAGAGAAGGAGGCAGCATTGTCATAACAGTTTGTTTAGGGAAATGAACATTTGGGATTTTCAAAAGCTTTGGTTATTCAGAATCCTCAAAGCTTTTTATGCTCCTGTGTCTCACTGATTTTCTTTTTTCCTTTTACCATTCACAATTCCTTTTAGATTTTAACAGTTATTTAATTTTTCATTTTTAAAAATCAGTTTAGGTGCCTTAATGCTCCCAAATATATATTAATATGATCTGAAAGTGGCTTTTCACTAATTAAGAACTTTAGTACTCTACTTCTTAGAAATTAGCTGGTAAGTACATATGAGGTTCAAGATTTTAAAACTACTGTAATTTCTGGGAAGTTTTAGTTATTTACTTCAAAAGAAGTGAAGTCAAACCACCTTTATGTCTGAAAATCTTAACTTTAGTGAATAAACCTTTAAACCAGGGATAGATTTCATTTGTGAACCCTTTTATCAGTGAGAGCAATTCTGACATTCAGGGCTTGGTTTTTCCTATAATCCTCATTCATTCAACTTCCTTATTACTTTGAAAGGAAAGTTTACAGTTTTTTACTCTCCACAAATTATTTTCTTTCAGAATGCAATCTTACTTAAAAGCTGAATAGAAACAATTTATGGAATAGATGCACATTGCATAGTTTTCAACATTTTTATATCTCATGACCTTGGGAAGTTATTCAGAGTTCTGTGCTGTTTAGGTAAATGGCTTCTCCCCTCCAAAAATCAGCATTACTATAGACTTTAATTGTTGCCTGTTTATCTAGAGAAGTCAATATATGTATCTCTGTTTGCATTAGTGTGTCAGCACACCTTTACAATAGGTGTTTTTTGTCCAAAACATCTTTTTTACCAATGCAAACAACTGAAGTTAGTTATAGACAGTGGTTCCTTTGTGCTGCTGGGTTGGAAATACAAATTGACTATTTTTTCCCCCTGCTTTATTCTTTCCCTTCAATAAATGTTTGTCAGTTTTCAAACTTATTAATTTCCACCTTCTTCTTAAAGTTTATAAAACTTCTTTTTAAACTGCTGACAGTAGAAGTAACACAGTGAGGACTATCTGTGATATTAAAGAATCATTTTCCAGACTAGCAATGAGTAAATTTCACTCCAAAAGAAGGTATGCACAGGGAAATAAAGATGAATGTACTTCTATCTAGACAGGAGGCAGAATCCTCATATAGCTTTTGCTTAGCACTAACTCAAAGGATGTGCACATCTGGGACATGACTTGAGGCTCACCCTGAATTTTGCAAAAATTATCTAAAGCCTTACAAAAATAAATGGTATTCCTTGGTATTTCTGTCTGGAAGAAGTCAAAATCTCCTTTTTACATGACTACAGCAGATCAGTTCAAATTGCAGGCACTGGTCTAGGTTAACTGAAATTTGGAGGGGCTGTAGTAGGGAGGATAGAAAGGTCAGACAGTTTTCTACAGATCCTTCCTCATTTGAAACATGCTGAAGCCAGTTATTGGCAAAACTTTTATCCTGTCACTGCTGAAGAAAAAGTATCAGCCACAAGAGCCTTGTGGTGTCCTCTTGGATTGAGCTGAGTCCAGCTCATTTCCAGTGGTGTGGTGTTTATATATCAAATCAGAAACAGAGGTGTCAAAAAGACCTTACAATTCTAAATATTGCAAATATTCAATTTTCGTTAGTTTTCGAATTGTATTTGGTTAAATTTTAGCAATACAGTATTAAATATAGATTTTTTTTCTTGACTGATTGACCTTTAGATCTGTTGATAACTAAGAAGAAAAATAGCTCTTGTTGTTTTTTCCTTTCCCCTTTGATTTCTATTGATTTATCAGAACTCACTAGGGATTGAAAGACAAGAAAATGAAGATAAGGTTAAAGAAAGGTTAAGCATAGCATCAAAGCCCTTTTCACAGGCAAAAAGGTTTTATGATCTTTAAAATCTCAGCTGCATACTCTGTACATAATAATAACTATAATTAAGTGATTGTCTCCCCTTCAAAAAAAAAGTTGAAAATGGCATAAAAGAATAGTAAATGGTTAATTAATGATATGCTGTTCTGTTTCCCTTCTGATTACACCTCCTGCTGGGCATGACTGGTGTATTTGCTACTAATCTCTGCTGTGAATTCATTCAATTCCATGCCTTTCCGCTATCATGTTTTCACCCTTCCTGACTTTCACAACTACCATATGGTTACAGAGCCACTCTAGGTTCACTTGGTGATTTCATGGTGTCGGTGTTCGGGGGAAAAGATGACAGTGATATCCAGTAGGCATGCTTGGATCTGGTTGTCCTGCCATGGAAATACCTAAAATTGCCATGAAAATGATAAACTTGTTCCTAAAAGGGTGTTGTAAAATGAGGATATGGTGGAGTTCATCATGACCATGAAAAATGTATTACCTTAGCTAAAGAAAAAGTTGTTTTATCCTCAAATTTGTCTTTTTCACAAGGGATCCGTGTAATATGGGTAGTTTGAAAGTAGTAGCTGGAAGGGATAATGCTTTTTAATTCCATTTTTACAGTGTAGGGTAGGTTATCTCATTTCACATACAGATGTAGAACACAGTCCTAAAAATGCATTTTTTACATTTTTGATTCAGAGTGATTTCATGGACAAGCTGTAAATTAATGTCAGAAAGATATGTGTTGTACTTTGATCCCTGGTTCTTTTCTGTGGGTCTCATTACAATGTCATTATTATTATTATTACACTCTCTTCCAGCTGGCAGGTATTTAACTTGACCTGCTCCTTAGAATTTAGAGAGTCTCTCTCTCCCCACCCCCGCTGTCTCCTCTGTGTCACTTCTAGCTGGCTGAGGAGGAACACACTGGGATGTGGTTCATCTCCAGCTGGGCTGTGTATGTGCCATTTATGGGCTGAAGTATCACAGGTCAATTTTTGGTTCAGTTGTTCACTATGAAATACATGGAGGTCAAGGTAGGAGGGAATGATCTCGTTTATTTTCTCCCTTAGCTGTTGACCTTTGCCAGTACCAGTTACAAAGGTGGCCAAAGGAGAAAGGCATGTTCTGTCTTTCCTGTAAAATATACTGCTTTCTGAGGATCTGCTCAGAAAAAAAGAGTAGAAATCAAACCATAAGAAAATGGCAACAACAGCAACCAAAAAAACCCAACAACAACAACAAATCCCAAACAAAAAACCCAAAATGAAACAAAAAAGCCCCTTAAACAAACCAAAGTAAAAACCACATAATTTCTATAGGAAAAATTGAAGGGACCTAAAGACTTTCTGAACCAAAAATGATTGAGTTGGGCTCTTCAGTTCCCAGAGTCACATAATCCCAGTAGGTTGGAAGGTCTCCAAACCAAATTCCTGTTCTAAACAGGGCAATTTCAGAGTTAGGCAGGTTTTCTGGGGCTGCATACTCTTGTCTGCCAGGGTAGGTGCACTGGCTGCCACTGTTCCAGACTGAGAATTCAAACACATTTTTGCAAAGCACACCAGCAGTCTGCAGATACAGCTCATTTGCAAGAGGTTACAATTAAGCTCTGCAGTGAGAAATTTGGTCTAATGTCTATTTTCAATGACAATACGTTGCATATGGCTTGTTGTTTTGTAATTTACTCATTATCCCTATTAGTGAAATATGAGCATATGACAGCTTTCTCTGAGTTGCCATGACTGGAAAATTGAGGAATATTGCTTACTGTCGCCCTGATTTTGTAAGACTTTGTTAAGCCTTCTGATGTTTGCATTCTTTCAACAAACTTTCTCACACACAGTTCTGTAAATAACCTATGTTTTGCATTCTTTCATGGAGGTGGAGAGAATTGATGGACCCTTGGTCTGTCCAGTGGCATTGGAGAGGTGGCACTGTCACCCTCCAATCCACTGTCACCGTTGGGAAACTATAAATGTTGGAGTCAGAAAATAAAGTTCTTCTTCTTCTTCTTTTGTTCCCCTCGAGAGCAGCAGTGTCTGTGTCATCATTTCGTGTCTTATCACAACAGTTTACCATTATGTCCTCCTGCAGATGGAGAACTGTACTCTGGCACAGCAGCAGACTTCATGGGCAGGGACTTTGCCATTTTCCGAACTCTGGGGCATCACCATCCCATCAGAACAGAGCAGCACGACTCCCGGTGGCTAAATGGTATGTAAAATGTACATTTCTCTGGTTACACTCATCCAGCCATTAAAGACTAGCACACAGCTCTGTTCCAGCAACATCTGTGACATATACACTCCTCTTTTATTTGGGGCAGAATTCTGTCTTAAACCAGTTAAACTAATCAAAAGTGATTTATAAAGAAGCATTTTTGGTTTAATTACACTAAGATTTGTGGAGTGTGATTTAATTTAAAACACACACAGACACTATGAGCAGCATAGTCATGCAAGTTGGACAGAAGCTCAAGGCTTGAGGCATCAGCCACACATGAACACAAAGTAGCTCCAGAGTCTTGGGCAGGATTGTGCTTTGTACATGGTTTAATTTTTGCTGGATTGAAGGGGACACTGACCACATCCAGCTGAAAGTCAACCAGCAGAACTTCATGAGCAAGCCAGAGTTGTCAAGGGTCTGGGAAAAAAGAAAAGGATCCTGGGGATTCCAAGTGATTTGGTTTCAAAATATCCAATAGTTTAGCAAGGCACAATAGCTTCCATTATTGTATGGATATTAGTAATCAAGCCTGTGGTTGTTTATTTGCATGTCTGAGGAGGGAAAGATAGTTTCAGAGGAAATTTGATTTTGGCTTCATGTACCAATATACTTTAGAATGCATCTGAGTACTCTATCCAAGTCCTACTGAAGTCAAATTTCCAACAGCTCAAATGGAATTACACTTGGCTTTAGCTATACAAGGATATGAGCATTTTGGAAATAAGAATTCATTGTCTGAAAAAGCTGATGTTTGAATTAAGTAATACTAACTCTAGTTGCTAAGTTAATTTAAGTTTTAATTTTTTAAGGGTTAACTAGCTCTACTTTGGCTGTACATACTGCTTGCACCTGCACTCCTGTTTTTGAATTCACAAATTATTTTATTCTTAGACATTTTTTGCTCCTAGCCATATTATTTATGTCTCTGCTGAGGTTCAGGCTTTCTTATGTGGTTTTACAATTTAGTGCAAACTGTTCACACAAATTTTAATGTGTAAGGGCAGAGTATGTTTTAAAACACAGTTTGTTATTAGCTAGTCAAGACCTTCTAGTATCAAAATGGATATCACATTAGCTGTATATACAATCCATATCAACATCAGTCCCTGACTCATAATTAAAACCACAAGATGCTCTTGCAAGTTGGATTAATTCTATATATAACATACATTGGATGTATGTATCATACAAGTGTGTATATGACAAGTATGGAGCTGCATTTTAATATGACAAGTTTATAAATCTGATGCATAGCCTGTTAAATTTAGTTTTGCTGCAATTAATGTGGACAACTATCTGTCTGGAAAATAGATTCAGGTGTACAATCTATTTCAGTTCTACAATCTGTGTTTACCTAGTAACACAAAAATTGTATTCATTGGGTTATTTTATTATGACAGTAAACAAGATTTCTGGACTTCAGGAAACAGTGAAGTACAAAGGTTATAGACATACCCATCTATCTTGATACCTGGTAGAGTAATAATGCATTAAAGATGACCAACATCAACTTCAGTTATGATAGTCATGATGACATTTTAAACCCAGTCATGCAAGCAAAATCTTCTTTTGTGCAGTAAATTTGCACAATGACAGCTGAGTCAGGAGGATTTATGCAGTGGGAAAATGCAGCCATTGTCCACAGGTCTTGTACTTCACTGCTGAAAATGTGTCATTCCGTTGTGGATTTGGTTATCAGTCTTTCAGCACTACATGTGAGAACTGCTTTTCCCAAATTAGCACTAAGGTTACATCTGTGGTGCAGAAACCACAGCTGCTTTGTGCTCAAGGTGGGGAGCTGATGAACCTCAAGCTTTCTTGAATTCAAGTATTTTACAAAATGAGCATAAAAGTAGAAAGACAGCATTTTTTGTATCCCAGGGTCAAGGTGATTTCCAACTCTTAAGTAAAGTTCTTGCACTATATTCTTGTATGGAAAGTTTCAAACTTAATTTAAAACAAGATACGAATCAAATTGAAACCTTTAGAAATTATTCTCATAACTGTCCATAATTTAATAGAGAACGATTCTTAAGTCCATTTTTGAAATCTCTCTCTCCACTGCAACTTAATATATTTACCTTCCTAATATGGAAAGATTGGCCTAAAATCTGCACTACAACATTCCTATTAGAGGCTCTGAGGCTTTACTGTTAATTTCCCAGTGATAAGATCCTGGCAGCCTTTCCACACAGCTCTCCTAATTTCAACATCTAACTTGGAAATCCAAAAATGATAATAGTTTGGGTTTGAAACTCCACAGGCATGCCAGTCCTTTGATTATTGTTTTTAATTTGTCATTTTTCTTCTTAAGATATAATTACAAAAGAAGGTCTGTGTTTGTATGTTTTTAAAGTGGATATGCTTTTTATGAAACAAGCTCTCATTGAAGATTGAGGTGTTCACTGCTTTCTTAAAGATCTATACAAACTATTTTTGAACCTTAAATTTGCAGACCTTTGTAAGTTTCTTAGTGAAGACATGGATTTCTATGTAGTGGTGGGTTTGCTTTCGTAGTTGCTTTTTACAGTGTGCTTAGCCTCAGGTAAAAAACCAGTATTCTAAGGGGCATATACTGAAAGCTGCAGAACAAGAGTTCTGATCAAATTCTCGTCTCTGTAGAGTTTAATAGTTAGGTGGTGAGACATCCATCTAAGTCCTTGCTAGTGTTTACTTCAGGCAGAGCAGGAGATAAACTTTTTCCATACAGAGGCTAAGGTCAGAGCTGACAAGGTGCAGAAAACACAGCTGATTGGTACCAAAAATGGAGAGGAGAAGACAGTTGCACGTGAAGAGCTTGCAGACTTTTCCCAGAAATTGCCTTGCCCTGAACTGGAATAAAAGTAGAACAACATTACTCAGAGTGATTAAGTTTTTGGGATTTAAGCAGGAACACAGAGTTACTACAGACATCACACAGTCACATTCTGGGGATGCTCAACCTTCTTACAGAAATTGTATATTTTGGGGAACTGTGCTTGGCCCAAGGGAAGGTGCTGACCAGCAGCTCTTAAAGACTTAAGTCTCTTAGAGATATTAAATACTCACAGGCTTCTAAAGCTTTCATTTTGCATAAATAATTAAACAGTCACCATGCCAGATAAAACAAGGGAGACTGATTCTATAGCCATGTAGTCAGGGCATTCATCTAGAAGCTAGGGAACTATACATCAGTCACTGTAGCAGTGTATATTTAATTATTGATAGAGGGTTGGCCAGATGTGACAAGGAAGCATTTGCAAAAACACAGTAAAATAAGCTGGTGCTCAGGGAAGTCATCCTGGACATGAAAAGCTGCAGTTCGGTGCCCCAGACTGAATCTTGTGCTTTGTTATAAGCCATGTTCATGCACGCATTGGACTTTACTGGCTCCTCTGGTACGTGCATGGAGTTTTCTCTGCACAAAAGAAGCTTTGGCAATCTACACAGTCCCAGTGAGGGTCAAGAATTGTTTTGAATTCTCAGAAAAAAAAATCTGATGTTGAAAACAAATCTTCTGTACAGCTTTACTATAAGGAACAATGGCCTTGATGTTACATATATATCTCACAAAGTCGTGCCCATTGGCAAGTACACGATTCTTTTAAAATGTGCCATTGCATCTTATAGTTCAGAGGCATAAAGTTATTTTGAAGCATGGATCACATCCTGCTTCCATGAACTGCTGCAGAAGTTGAAAAAAAAGGTGAGTAGTGTGCAGGTGGGAGCAGCTACTCCTGGTGCCAGGGAGTTCCCTGCTGCACACCATCCCCACGCCTTCATGCAGGGGCTGAGGGCATGGCTGGAGGCAAGAAGGAAGAATTGGCAGTGCAGTCTACCAGAGCAAATGCTGAGCAATGCAAAGGCAAAGCACCCAAGGCAGTTTTCAAGCTGAAGATTAGAGGAGCGGAAGGAGAGAGCTTAAAGCTGCTCTCATCTTCTGTGACTTGAGCACAGGGGATCTGGCCTTAAATTGTTAACATTTTGTAAAATGAATAACCATAAACATTTATTTTAAAAGCAAAGCAGGATTGGGCTGAGCAAAATCTGAAAGGAAATGAAATCACAAAAGCTGCCTTAGGATAGTATTATGAATCTGGTTTGCACCCCAGAAATACTGGCCTCACTCACCCATTTTACTAGACCTGGGGTTAAGAGAGATTGTCAGTCTGGATTTCCAGACTTGGCTTGGAATTTCCTTGCTTTTTATGTGTTTAAACCACTCTGTGATATTATTTTAGCATACTTTCCATGGCTTAATTTTTAAAGTGGAATAGTAACTGTGCTTAGTTCCCTGAGGTTATTGTCCTTGGTAATCTTTACTTTACAGTTACATAAACAGCTGAGAGTTATAGAAGCTGAATGACTGTTCAATAAAAAAGAAAATGCCGTCTTAAATGTAACAGGGTCCAAGGCAGGAAACAGGACTTGATACTCTCCTGGCATTCCAACAGAACTGTAGACATCACTTTGTGTTGTTTCCACTTCAGACGCTTCGTTGAATGTCCCAGCATTGGCATTACACACACGTGATCTTGAGTATATATGTATTGCACAGTAGACTAATGTATGGCAACAGAAAGGAAAGATTGCAGATAGTTTACAGGATCTTTACCTCTCTAATAAACTGCAATAAATGTGTCAAAATGTTAGAAATTAATTACTCTTGCTGAGACTTGGGTGTGTACATATCCTGATCCTTGAACCTGTAATTAGCCTTTGGTCAACCACACCAAACCCTTTTTCTAGCTATAGATAACCACTGATGGTCCCCTCTGCTGTGCCACTCCCTTGTTCCTAAATGCCTTTCTAGCTTCCCATTTTCCAGCTCACCTCCTACACATTCTCGATCCAGATATACACCATGCAGTAAAATACAGGTATCAGCTATGGAAAGGGGCCACAAAACCCAACCATCCTGGTACCTGGGGTTGGTTCATAAAATATATCTAAGATATTATTGGAGGAAGGAGGTGAGGGATGCTACAAATACAATAATCTCCAGCAAG